GCAGCAGAAGCTGGAGGATCGGTTGCTGTACCGTTGGCGGGGGCGTCAGTAGGACTTGTGGGATCCATAGGAGTAGCAAAGCAACTGTCAACAGTCTCCACTGACGAGCAGGTTCCCGAGTTGTCCCTACCAGGGCTAGAGAAAAGGTTCTCGCTTGCTGCACAAGACTCATTCTCCACAGAGTCTGCAATGTACAGCCCAGAAATGGACGGGTACAGTCCAACATCACCTTCTCTTGCAGCCAAAGTGGCAAATGAAAACTTGGAACCCGAAATGCAAACATTCTCCACTGTTGCTGATCCAGTAGCTCCATCTACAGACAATGCTGCAAGCGCTTCTACATTCTCATAGATAACATTCTTTGCTGCGATAGTCTGGTTTTCACTCAAGAAAACAGAGGTACCGTTAGAAGTGGTCACATTGACAAAAGTAGAATCTTCCAAGGTGAAGCTGATAGAATTGGGTGGGGTGAGTGGTGCCAGTTGAGCAATGTCGGATGGTCCAACAAAGATTGGCCTGGATTGAGCGTCGCCAATACCATAGGCAATGTTCTTGAAGGTAATGTTCGAGACAACATAATCACCAGGTGCAGAGATAAACATGGATTGGGAGGGAAAGCCTCCGGCTGGCGTCAATCCAGTTCCATCAAAGACAATGTTTTTGATGATTGTGCCTGACTTGGGATCAGTAAAGGGCGTCCCTTCGAAGACATAGGCAGCAAGTGTTGCGAACTGAATGAGCCCACCACTTAGAACGACTCCATTCCCATCGATGGTGGTGTTGGGACGAAGAACAGCCAAAGGAAAGCCCCCAAAGGAAAAGGCCGTGAAGGCTTCATTGGCAGGAAATCCGACCGTGAGTTCAAGCCCTGGACACAATGTGTAGACGCCTCGAACGTCATTCGAGCGAGGGTCAGTAGCTTGGGCAATGGCAAGTGCTTCTGTAGTGTTGTAGCAGTCTTCTTGTGCTGCGACAACACCCATCAATGAAGCGAACAATGCAATTGATAGTTTCATGTTAACTACAGTATTTATTTCAGTTTCAAGGAATGACTGAAGAATGACTGTGCCGCAGAGGTAC